TAAAACATCCCTGTGTTTTCAGCCCTGTTTCCAGCACAAATCCCAAACCAGCTACTATGAAGAAAATTAGCTCTAGCTCAGCCAAAACCAGCACAGAAATAAAAGAGGAGGAAGGGTAGAGTGGAGTAGTCAAGTCAGAGAAGGGACATACTTTGTGTGAATGTCCTTCAAATGAGAGTCCTCAAGAGGCAGCCAGCTTATTCTAAAGAAGTAAATTAAAATGTGGACCTCTTCTGTATGTGGACATGGCACTTGAAAGATGAAACAGCTGGATGAGAAAGCATGGAAATAAGGCGTTTGAATACTGCACTGATCATTCAGGTATATATAGAGAGCTTTAGACAGAAGCATTGCTTTAAGTGTTTTTAGTTCTAAGGTTTCTATCAATCAAATCAATTTCATCCAGATGTCAGTAATTAAAAGGCTAAGTAAATTTTTGAAAACAGAAGATGAATCAGGAATGTCATCACTTTTTTGTGTGCTTCTGCTCACCCTCTAGTACACCAAGTACTGTCACTTGTTTCACCTCTCCTTTGCAGATGTTGCACCTGTGTGGCCCCAGGACATTTGTTAGTTTCTTTGAATTGCCTGTTTTTCGTGGAAGTATCATGCTTGTTCCATGTATTGTAGCAAATGTGTAGGGAAGTAAATTTCTTTTTGATAATAAGTGCATTTGTTCATACTTTCAGCTCTTCTCTGAAGGTTTGTTTTAAATGAAACATACAAGAAAATATTTGTGTCCCCTGTGTACACAAAAGCATTTCAAGTAAACTCTGGTTGAGACAGCTTTATGCAGCATTTGATTGCTTATGCCAACATGTTTATGACAGCACTTTAGGGTCTTTAGTAATGGAATGTAAGTTGTGCAGTTTTTATTTTACCTAGAACATAGCTTTACATTTTGCAGGCCAAAATGCTCAGTTTTAAACAAAGCTGCTACAGGAGAGTAGTAGAATGTTGTTTGTTTGTTAATAGGAATGAGCAGTCTGTACAGTTTAATGCCCCTCAATCTTTTTTAGCTGTTGGGGACAAACCTAAAGTCACATTTAAAAAATAAGTCTAAAAACAAGTAAAAGGTGCAGACCTTTCTATCTTGTCCTTTAAGCATCTTTAGCCTGCATTATTTTTCCTAGTACTGTCTGCGCCATCAGATGCAGCTGTCTCTTCCAGCTGATTGTATTCAGTCACTGCAAAAAACTTGTTGCTGTATACTTGATTCTCTTAACTGCCTTCCCTTCCTTGAAAATATGATGAGGCAGTTTTTTATGTGAATAATACTTTATCTGTAATAGGGCAGTTGATAGAGTGAAGTCAACAAACTGAGAAACCTTAGTTTATTAACTGAAAAAACTTGTTTGCTGGGAATTGTAAACATTATGACTTCAGTAGCTGGAGTGTGTTATCTACAGATTATATTGTTTAATCTAGTTTTTTAACTATTTGTAAATGTAGATATATTTTAATCAGCTGCTTCAGTAATGAAGTAATTGATTATACAAATCTGTTTTCGTACGTAACAACATTAGGACACTAGAACAGGGGTTTTAGGTAGTTTAGCACTGCTGGATTCAAACACTTTTCTAAGAGTGTTTTCAGGTTTTTAAATATTTCATCTCTGCAAATGTCTTCGGAGAAATCATTTCAACATTTTACTCTCCTAAACATCTTTATAGCCAATGGCAAGTTAGGCAGCTAATTAGGAGACAGACGTTCAACCACTTTCATGGGTCTGACTCCATTAACTTGGGGAATAAAGTATCTAACAGTGATTTTTTTTTTTTCCTCCCCCCCAGTATCCTAGAAGTATGGCTTGCCTTTTCTTACTGTCCTTTTTATTGCTCTTTGTACAATCTCTGGACTGTATCACTTGTGATGTAAAAGCTAGCCTTAATTGTATTTATTGCAATTATGAAATAATATACTTTGAATAAAGACCTATTCTTTAATCTAGAAATTTGCTTTTGGATACTACAAATTGGTTTCTTTGCTGGTTTTATACATTCATATAGCAGCTGTTTTTTCTTTTATGTCTTAGTAGCATTCCAGTTTACATTTTGTTTACACACATCAAGGAACCATAGTCTTTACTTCTGTGATCTTATAAAGCTTGCAATAATGATAAGGTTTAATTTGACCAATATGTGTACAAGTTGTAAAATATCTAACATCTTTTGTTTGTAAACCATTTCAGATTTTAAAGCAAATCATGGATTGTTTTTAACTTCTAAAGTGCTAATGAATTTTTAGTAGTTTTACTGAACTTGTATACGGTTGATTGGGGTTTTTTTTCCAAGCACTACAACAGAAACTGTCTTTTATCAACACCTCTTGGAGCATTGTTTTCAACCTTTTAGTCCAGCAGAGAACCTTTTTCTCATTTAGAAATACCCAAACTTTTATTTGGCCAGAGCAAGGGTGTTTCGTAAAATGCTTTGTTTTCTTGCCACAAAAACTCTAGGAAGCCCTGTTACGAAAGAAATGCTGTCAAGTGGCTTTCCTCCTGCCTTTATCACTGATGTTCAATAACCATTCAAAACTTAGAGGGTCAGGTAAGAGCTTTCTTAATAGAGCAGTGACATTATTTCTGGTTAGCCTCCAATATGTTATATTTGCTGAGAGCTCCAATGCATTTTCATTTGATTTTTTTTTTGTTTGTTTGTTTTTTTGTTTTGTGGTTCTATCATCTTTTACAGAAGGGAATTTTTTTTTTTTAAGTTTAGTTTAGCCAACTAAATGCTAATGGATCCACTGAGAGGTTATTCAGAAATGTTTGCTGATGTGTTTTGCTTTAGGAAAATACCCAGAATAATTGGGTTGAGAATGCAGCATGGCAAAGTGTTTTTCCAATAGCAATATTTGGAAAATCGTATATGTGAATGGTGCTGTATGCTCATTGTTGCATATATGTGTGTGTTTCAAGCTACAACAGATTAAGTGAATACTTCAACACAGCAAAATAAGTAGAATGAGCAACTCTGAGTACTTGGCATAGTATTTTGGAGCTTCAAAATTACACCTTTACTTGCTTGATAATTGAGCTTGTTATTTCTTTTTTACCTGTCCTTTAAATATTGATCCTGCAAAGGCTTGTGCGTGTGATTAACACTAAATGGAAGTGTTCAGGCTGCTAAAATTAGACAGGTTCTTCAGTCCTTGCAAGATTCAGGTCTCTGGTTCCTTAATGTTTATATTCTTGAGATATATTTAATTATTTTAATTTTTTTTTTAGTGTAATGCAAAGCATATTTCCAAATATCCTGGAAGAGGTTTTGTTAGCTTTTCTTAATAGGGTAATTTAAGTGGAAAAATTAAATTTTTATTGTGGAGTCAGAGGGAAGGAAAAATGTTGTAATGAATGAGGGGAAATTAATGGCAAACTCTAATACAAGATTTCATAAACATTACCAACAGCAGACACACCACCATATTCACCAACTTTACTGCTATGTCACTTTTCAGTAAAAAAAACCCCATACCTATTTACTATGAGTGTTCCAAAGGCAATAAATGTCTTGACTACTCTAATTTTTAGCACTGTTACTGGTGAAATGGTATGAACTCTCTTGCAACACCCTGAATGCCTCAGTGTTTGGGTGTTAAGAACCTGATATACTTCACATTAGCTCTCAAGGTGACACATTTGTTTTCCTATGAGTTACTGCATTAATAAGGACTGTAAACTGGCTCTTTAGAATTAGTGTTATCAAGAGAAAGCTGTTTTGTAATCTCTTCTTAATAAATTACCAGTAGTGAGAAGCTGATGTAAAACCCGAGGCTTGTCTTCATGCTTACCTGTCTTCATTGCTTTTTTATAATTCTGTGCATTTCTCTGTCCTTGTTTGTATGTATATCATTCACTGTGTACATTCATATGTGTTTCTGCACTAAGTTTGTGACTGTCTAGAAATCAAAATTCTCAGTTGGGTCTTTGCTTCTGTGGGTTGAAGATATACCTGCCTGGTTCTTGATTTTTTTTTTTTTTTTTTAATATACCATACAGCTGCCTCTAGAGAATGAAGATCCAAAGAAGCTAGAAATGTGATAAATGAAAAATTAGAATAGTGACATCTGTGTTTCATAAGATGTTCTGAAGTCAAATATGTTCGTGAAGTCAGAAATAGTCTTTAGGAAGTTCATGTTTATGACTACTACTGTGAATCATCTGTTCTACTGCAAAGAAAAAGCTATCTTCTGTAAATGTTTTATTTTTAATCACTTCTACCTGAAGAGAATTTGCTATTACTTGTCAAATGTTGTAAGATATACCTAATTTGTTTTGGTTTTTTCTATTTGCATTGTAGGTTTTGACTTTTGCCTATAAGCATGCACTGGTAAATAAAATGTATGGGAGAGGTCTCAAGTTTGCCACAAAACTTGCAGAAGAAAAGCCAACAAAGGACAACTTGAAAAACTGCATTCAGGTAAGCAGTGTTTGCTCAAGTAATGAGCTATGTCCATGCTGAGTAGACTTTTAAGAGTAAGATATAAGTCTTTTGGAATTTTTAATATTTTTTACATTTTAGAAACCACTAAATGTAACATTTTATCTTTATCCAGGCTTTGGTAGCTTGGCTTCCATTTTTGATAGTGATTTTTATTTCTTTTTCTAGAATAACTGGTTTGTGAGTAACTGTCACTTTTAGCAGATTTACTTTCTGGCACTTCCTTCGGGGCATAAAGGAGTTAGACAACTTAGCCAAAGATACCTGAATATTTAAAATCCTGTTATGTTGCTGTTTAGCCACTATTATTTTTTACTATTATTAATGATAATTACTGTTAAAGGAATATAGGTTGAGAATTAATGGAAATTACTGTAATTCCTAGGACAAGATTTTTGTGCATTCAGTTAAGATTGTAGACCGTATAGCAGGGGAGAGGGAGGCGGAGGGGGCAGAAGTTTCCCCCTCTCAGGACTAAGGAATTCAAAGATCACTGGTTCTCCAATCTGTTATCTTTCTGATAATTGACGTTTTTAGTAAGATGTTGATATCTCTGCAGTGTTTGTTTAAATTTAGATGTTAGAAAGAATGACTCGTTTTTTTAATGTCTGCTTTTTTCTTCAGCTAATGAAGTTGCTTGGATGGACTCACTGTGCAACTTTCACTGAGAATTGGCTTCCTGTCATGTATCCACCTGATTATTGTGTGTTCTAGAAAATCAACTGTTGTAAAATTAAAATGATTTTATAAGGGGCAGGATAGGAAAAGATAAGTTTGACTTTTTATTCGAACGCATGTTTTCATTACTGAATGCTGATTATTAAATTGTGTGTATTTATCAGTAAAGGCACCTGGGTACAGTTAATACCTGCTAACCTAACTCCTGTCATTAGGGAGTTTCCTTATTGTGCATCCCATTGCTGGCAATGGATGTGCCAGAACTGCCAACACCGAGGATTTGGAATCAGGTTGGAAAGACTTACTGCATGCATGTTAGGTTCTGAACTGTTACTTTTAACTGCAAACCTGTAAAAGTTCTGTATTTTTTACGGTAAACTGAATTTTAACATGTTTGATCCTAATTTCAGTTGTATGAAGGCCTTAAAGCTACTTTAAGAGTAGCTAAAATCTTACTAGACGAAAATAATGGAACACATGTATTGTTTGCAAGAGTTTACATTTAATTTTTTTTTAAGAAAAATTCAACCTCTCAAACTGTTACAATGTTTAACTTTGAATTGCTGATGCATAGGTGCTCTTGTAAATCTTCATTTTGGAGTGATTTCAGACAAACTCGAAAATCTGTGTGAAGCTGAGTATAAGGACAGACTGATACATGTATAAAAGTGCCAGACAGTTACATCTTGATTGGATATTGTAAAGCTATACATATATGTTTATTAGTGTTAAAAATATAAACCACAGCAGAATAAATGTGCAAAGTTGTAGGTCAGAAAAACATTATGTGCACTCTGATACTTTAAAAGATTTTTATAATTAATAAAAATACTGAAGCTAAAAATTGTATTGGTTTCTGGATTAGTACGTAAACAAAACTTGCTGAAAGAAAACACCTTACAAACAACAGAAGTTCAGTGCAGCCCAGAAGATCAATGCTTTTTGTTAAAGCCTTATTACTGACTACTGCTATGAAGGTTGTTCCTTCAGTGAAAGGAAATTGGTCTGTTTGAACAGCTCATATGTATCAACCAGAGACTAATTGCCCTATCTTTTGCCTTGCTAGTTTTTTCAGTGCTTGCAATGCAAAACTTGGATACAACTGCGACTTTACAGACGTAAATACACATAAGGTGCAACATAATCCTGCAAAGCATTCCAAACTGTGAGGTGGTGCCACTAAATCAAGAATACTGATAATTTTCTCTTTAATTTTCTCTTACTGTGGCTTTAAGCAGCTTGACATTTGATTCTGGAAATTCTGCTAGAACAGTTGTGTTAAATATATTGGAAAGTTTTTCCAAAAATTCATAGTCTGTACTGAATCTGAATTTATTGGCCCATAGTAGTACTGTTCCTGGCTTACAAAAATATACCATTGTTGCTAGCAGGGGATCCAGAGCTGCATGATGGTACACAACATCAGTTGCCAGTATGAAATCATAATGGTAAGTTGATACAGGAAAATCTTCATTGAGGCCTTCTCCCCATACCAGTTTTCTTACTTCAGGTTTGTTCATATTCATGTTCTGTGTATTTCTTGAAATATTATATGAGAGATTTTCAAGAACTTCAGGCAAATCAGTAGCTGTAACATGAGCTCCTAAAGAAAACATGAATTTCTTTCAATTCACAGAATCATCAAGGTCGGAAGAGAATTTCAAGATGATCTGGTCCAACTGTGAACCCAGCTCCACCATAATCACCCCTAAACCATTTCCCCAGATGCCTCTTGAAAACTTCAGAGATGGTGACTAAACCACACCTCCATGGGCAACTTATTCCAATCCGTAAACCACTCTTACAATAAAAAAAAAAAAAAATATCTAACTTAAAGGCCATTTCCTCTCATCCTTTCACTTGAGACATGGCAGAATTCATAGATACGTAATTTAATATATATAAAACTTTATCTACATAACTTCTCCAGGCTTCCCCTCACCAGTAACTAGGGTAGTTAACAAAACAGGTTTTTACAATAATTTTCATTTAAAACAAAACAAAACAAAAACCATGATGGCAAAGTTAACTTCAATTGTTGTTGCATTTCCCTAAAGTGACAATGGCAGGACTGAATCAATTTTCACAGAAAATCTAAAAGAAAATACAAATTTACCAACCTAAGATACAGGCCACAATGGAAAGCAAGCCTGTTCCAGCACCAATTTCCAAAACTTTTTTGTCTTTGAGGTTGAATTGTTCTTGATTTGATTCCAGATATTGAGATAAAGCCAGTGCCTAAAACGGTTAACACATATCTGTAAGAGGGTAACAGCTAAGTTGCACAGAAATTCATTAGATGTTTTTATGCAAAGGTGTTGGTTTTTTTAGTACAATGAAAAACACTGAAGGGTGTAACATAAAAATGTAATATGGAAAGAATTGCGATGTCCTGCTTTTTTATATAAAGAAAAAAAAATAAAGCAGTTTATTTTTAATTTACTTTGATGGGATGTGGATTTGCTACACATTTCTATGTGAGTCCTCTGACAGCTCAAAATGGACAGTGGTAAAATGTGAACCATACAGTCAGAACACCAAACAAGAGGTTTAACAATATGTAAAAATAATGTTCTGGTTTATGGTAATAAACGTTATGCTTTATTATCACTATCATCATCAAGTAAATTTAGGCTTCAGCAGAGATTTTTGGAAAACTTTTTTGGTTTAATTTTTTTTTAGCAAAGAAAATATTAAAAATTTGTTATTTACCAACTTGGTACTTGTCTTGATAATCGTATAAACTTTAGACAGGAAACAGCACTGTATGGAAATATTGTTTATCAGACCTTTGTAAAGATCTTATTGATAGAATATAAAGGGGCTGTTTATAAACAACATAAACTGATGCCAAAGAAACTGTCTTCCCCCTTTTGCTTCTCTTCTTTAGAGTTGTGTTACTGTTTTGACTCTTGTGCTTTTCATAATACAACATTGTCTGCCTGCTTTGGGAAAGCTGACAGCTAATAAATCACCAATTTGTGCAACCTCTCCATTTTCTTGGATAGTTGTACCATCTGCATTCCGACACCTGATTAATGTGCGAATTAATGATCTGACATGTCAAAATAAGATACTGTTTCACCCACACAAACGCTTTCTTTCTATTGTTTTGAAATTGCCATTTTTTGTGAGCTTTTTAAATAAATGTGGATCTGAAAACTTTTGAAATCCTAATTTTCATATCTTTATCAGTTGACTTTCTTTCCTCAAAGGCAGTTTTCTCAGTCCACGTTTTTTAAGAGCAGAGGAAGCAGAGATTGAAGAGCTGCTTGCAAGTATGGTTTTCCATACTGCAGTGGAGCTGTTCCAGCCTTTTCTTTAAAGGAAGCATGTTTAATTGTTGTAACCTCATTATTTAATCTCTCACAATTTTCTTTTTCAGCCTCCTTTTTGTACTGCTGATTGTTTACCTCCTAACGGTGACTGATTGGAAACATGGTGGAAGCTGAATGCTTCTTCCTGCATTCCCTTTCTGAATTTTATTCAATGCCTGCATCCAATTTACAGATGCTTAAATACCATAGCCCTTTCGGTGTGAACTGGCAAATTACCTTAAGGCAGAGCTTTCTGTTGAAGGTCTTTGTCCTGCTTAGGGAAACCTCTATTGTGGGAAGCATCATCCAAGAAAGCTTCCTTAACGTTCGTGTGCTGCTGTTATGTTTACTTCTGTGTCCTGTCAGCCTTCTGCCGTATCATGTACTTACCCCCGGCCATACCACGGCTCCGAAGTGTTCTATGGACTCCTGAATGACGATCTGGTGGCCCACGTATGTATAGTGCTCTTTATCGAAGTAGTGTGAAACTCTAGGAACCCAGTTCTGCAGTATTTTGAGAGTTACTGGTGAGCCTGTGAGAGAAAAGTGGAAATTGGTGGTTTTATATGCAACTTGGTAAAAAGTGTCTTGCAAAAACTGTGTGTAGGCACACGGACTAGAAAGTTGTCAGGCCACTGGCCTTGAATTACAGAATCATTAAGGTTGGAAAAGATCTGGAAGACTGTTGAATTTAACCCTTAACCAACCCAGCACCTCTGTGTTCATCGCTAAAACATGATCTCAAGTGCCACATCTGCATAACTTTTGAATACTTATGTGGATGGTGATTTGATCTCTTCCCTGGGCAGCCTGTTCCAATGCCTGACCACCCTTTCAGTGAAGACCAGTTGCTGTCCAAAAGCAGATACTCTGGCTGGCCAGGTAGTGAAAGAAACAATGGTCATTTCCTGCCATTCTGAGTGTTCACGTGGGCAATTTACAGGTATAAACAAGCCTTTTAGGAAAAGCTACTAATTCAAATATAAAGTTCAGCTAATAACAGCTAAAAGACTTTCTGGGCCAAGTTACCTTGTATTTTGGGGTAAGCTAGTTCATGTTGAGTATGAAGATAGTATGTAGGTGTTTGTGCTGTAGATTTCATTTGTGGGGTCAACAGCTCTAGAACATCAAGCGTCTTTTTAAATAAGAAGTATTTAGAATTCACTTCTTACGCTGAAGAAAACCTAACTCTTTTTGGTGGTTGTTTTTAATTAAGCATCCTTCCATGGAAGGAGAGTTGTAAGATGCTCTTTAAGTATGTGTTGACATACAGCATGTCAGTTCAGCAAATCAGTTCTATGGCTGTGCTAGTGAGTCTCATCATAGAAGGAGGCTCATGGGTGAGGCTTTTTAGAAGAGCTGGGCTCAACTGTTCCATTTGATCTCACTGAAAACAAGGACACTGACCTGAATGACTGCACTGTTGCTGAAAGCCTGTCAGCAGCATGTGCACAGAATTAACCTTAACTGCAAAGAAAAATTTCGCTCTGGCTAGCATGGATTTTAATTGTTGCCTGCCAGAAATGCTTGGTAGCTGGTGGAGCAGTTTAGCCTGTTGAAATTTGTAATGCCATAGCTTCAACAGTGCCAGCCCAATTAATGCATATTGTAATCATATCTCTAATTGTAATTGATAAATAATTCTTAGATGTCCAAGTGAAATTCAGAGACCTTTTTCAATATACATCTGAATTATGGAGATAGTAATTTTTTTTGCAGGTTTGATCTGATAATATATGCGAATATAAGGGGAAATGGGAAAACTGGATGTCAAAAGGGAAAGTGACATGGTGACATCTGTTTGAAGACTGACAGAAATCAAAATATGAACTGCTAGAATACCACAGCAATTGCAGTATTTAAATGGGATTAAACCTGTGTTAGATTCTGCATGCTTGGAGCTGCAAGTGCAGTTTTCAGAGTCACACTGCTCTTCACAGGTTTCTTCTTCCTCAGATTGGCAGTCCATTTCTCTTTGAGTTTTGTTGGGGAATGATGGCTGCTGTGCAGAGATCATGGCAGAAGAGCTGAAATGGAAGGGGAAAAATAATGTAAAATCTTGCAGGCCCTCTCTTTGTATGAGACATGACTGGAAGAAGACATGAATAGTTTGGGTGGCCTTGGTTGGCCTTTTGGGGTTTTTTTTTCAGTGATGGGTTGAAGGAAAAGGATGAGATGTGACATCCCACTCCACTGAGTTATGACCACTTTCTGATAATGCAGTAATGCTGTCAGAATTTTCACTTTATCATGTTTATCATATTTATTATCATGTTTATTTTAACATTTATACAGAATCTTAGCTTTATGTCACTGAATTGATGCCACTGATCAGTCTGAAAATTGAGCTGCTTTTATCAGTTGAAGCAATAACTGAGAAGGATAACCCTCTTTTAACATCTATGACTTTTTATCTGTGCAATTTACTGTTTTCCAGAAAACTTGGGACTTGGCATTCCTGAGATAAAACTGTTTCATTTGCTCCAGCCAGTGCTCTTGATTTTGTCTCTTTGCATCCAGTTGCCTTCTCTTCCCTACCTTTCCTTGCAGAGCAGCTTAATGAATTACTCTGAAATGTAGTGAACTGCAGATTATGTAGATAGCAGTCAGGAAATCATTGCAGTGAGAAGTTTGAATCTATCGGGCTTTTTGGAGAACTCTGTGTGTTGTGAATGACTGTGCATCCTCAGTGTACAGGGCAGCACCCAGCCTGAGAAGGAACTGATTGATACCGACTAACATCAATAAAAGCAGGAATAGGACTGGATCTAAATTTACCTGGGGAGAAATATGTCAGTGAAACTTCTTGCTTGACTAGAATTTTCTTCACTGAAGCACGGGAGTATGTCTGTGTATGTAGATAGATAGATAAATAGATAAGCTATACACACATATCTATGTAAAGAGCAAAAAACGGGTTCATAACTTGCTCTGGCCAGAGGCTGTACAAGCTCACCCTTCCCACATGGGTGGAGTGAGCTGTGTTTTTTATCCGTGATGAAAACATGTATCCATTCTGCTCATTCTTGAGACTGCATATTTGCTCTCTCCAGCCATAGGCACTGCAGACTAAGCGTTGTATAATTTGGGTTGCATCATACTGCAGGAGGCTGTTGTAGATATCCTGACCCGAAGGGGTAAATGTTTGGCAGTGACCAAGAGGTTCAGCAATGCCTGCAGGTAGCTTTTTAAGGAGCAGAGTGACTGCTGACTTGGGTGGGTGGTTTATTTGCACATGTCATTGACACCATTGCAGTTTTACTGATACCTGATATATTCCTTATTGCTGCTCTGTTTATGTTCTAATTCCTCTGACACTGCATTTGCTCAGTCTTGGCAGCAATTTTGTACTGTTTCAGAAAAGAGTGCTTTAAAGGAAATTGATTTCTGCAGATTTTGATTTTCTTTTCTTCAGAGGCCCTCCATCTGGCCAGTAACAAGTTCTGGCTGTGGACTTTTGAGTGTGATTTTAGGTGCAATGAACGTAGGTAAGAGGCTGAAGTTAATTCTGCAGTTACTACATTCCCAGACATGAGTAAATGCATCCATGTTCACAGGTCACACATGGCATTGTGCCTCCTTCCAACAGCAATGGTTGCTCATGTAATCAAAAGTAGACTTCTAGTTTTCAGCAATGCCTCCTTCTCATGCCTTGAGCTAGAATAAAATCTGGTCATGTTTTAACGTTTTAGGAAATCTCTGTGAAAAATATTTTAAGACTTGGGCAATTGTGAAGGTGCATAATGAAAGGAGAAGAATCGGTCAGAACTGGTTCTGGCTAAAGCCAGAAAACAGTTGGTTAAAGACTCAGTCTTCTTAACATTTCGTGCTGAAACATGCAAAGCACTACATTGTCATATTTGGGGAGTTTGGGATGAGTGGTTTGTTTGTTTGTTTGGGTAGGTTTTTTTGTAATTGAAATTTGTGCAATGTAAGTGAAAAAGCCAATCCTGAAATTAAAAAGCAGGAGGAAACTTTAATCTTGTCCAGTACTTTTCTGTGTATAAAACCAGAAGGGCTTGTTTAATGAGTAAGCTGTAATTTATCAGTCTGGGTAGAAAGTGATCCCCCTGCATTTTTTTCCTTCCTTAAACAAGTCCTTACTGCAACAGGCCAAAATTTCGGTTAGCTGTGGGCAGTGGTGAATTCCAGAAAACAGTTTGGGAACACGCTTAGTAAATGCGAATTTGTTGATAAACACTATGCACTCTGTGTTTGTGTGTCACCTAATACACTGGGATCTGGTTTATGGCTGGGCTTCAAGATGCTATATTAATATCTTGTCAGAGGTGTAGCTTTTGCTAAACAGAGAGGGGGTTATATATTTGTGTGTATATATATATATATATATATATACATGCACATTCTATTGCCATAATTATGTTATATATTTCATAATATATATATTTCATATATATAGGAATTAAAAGTAAGGCTTTGTGGTTTTTTTTTTTAGCTGCAAACAACAGCTTTAAAAGGACAGTTTTAGTTGTATAAATTCAAGAATTCAAGCATATTAGTGTCTTGTCCTTATTGATGCACAGCTTTATTTTATCATTTTAAGTGACAAACTACTTGAAGACTACAGGCACAAGTGAGTATTGAGAGGCTATTTCGAAATGGGTGGTTGCATTTTTACACCCTCCATATGTAATACAGGTGAGTTGTTGATGTGCTTCTAGAATTATAAAAAACATTTCTTACTGTTTTGACATTTTTCTGTTCCATATTTTATTGAAAATTATATATCTCTAAAAGAATTTTGATTTAATAATGTTACAAGTAAAATCCATTCCCTTTGAAAGTGTTGGCTTTTTCTGAACGTGAGCAGCCAGTTTTTTTACAAATTGATCCTTTGGGAAATAATCATCTAAATTCTTTCAGAGTTTTAAGACCAGCATTGACTTCATTTTGTTCACAACAGCCTTAAGCTGTTGTGAACAAAATTTACAAAATCACATTTGATTTCTTCAAAACCTAAGGAAGAAAGAATAATTCATAAAATTATATCTATTTGACAATACCACATAAAATTAACAAGGTAATTAAACATTTAAGGGCAAATTGTAAGATGATGATAAACCTTAAGGTAACACAGTTTATCCCCTATAATAATAAACTTTGTGCCTCTTAAACTGTTGAAATCCATTGCTCAAGAAGAGCTTTTCAAATCCAGCTATATGGCAAAAAAAAAAAAAAAAAAAAGGAGATTATTGAGCAGTACTGTTAACACAATTCTGCTGAAATGTGTTTCCCTCATCTCTACATGAAGTTGCACGGGGTACTCTGGTTTAGTCTGAAGTGTTTGGGCAAAAGCCAATTTCATTTGCTCACATGGGAAATGTAATTACAGTGTGTTCTTTGCAAGACAGGGCTTAACCATACACTCTTACCATACAGTAACATCTCTCTTTCTTAGGGTTCATGCAGTTTTCTCATGTTATCATGCACTACATTAAAAAATCAATATAAATGCTAGGAAATAAGTGAAACTCCAGTGCTAGCAATATCAATATAAGAAACTTATATGATATTTGAATCCACAAGGTAAATGGACTGAAATACTGAAAACCAGCAGTGACAGTCAATCCCCACAAAACAGAAAGGGTTAGGAAAGCTGGATTCTGTTGGCAGACAGAGCTGACCTGGAACACGCGAATTCAGACAAAGCTGATTCTGTTGTTAGTTAGCAGAGAGCACAAAGGCGTGCCAGACGAGGTTAGCTGGGCGGCTGTGTGGGTACCTGATGTGACAGGGCACGGGAAGTTTCCTGTGGGTGGATGCATGCTCCAGAGGTTTTTTATACAGGCGTGCACCTGAAAAGAATAACCCTCCTCTCTGGCCAGTCGGATTGCAGGCTATTTAGAGTAACATTACCAGGCAGTGCTCGAAGAACTTACCATGTTACACTAAACTCTTCCACATTTGCAGTACAAAATGAAAACTCCCTAGACTTTGAAGTCCCAAGCACACCAACCTTCAGAAATAAAACCTCAGCTTCCTCCTACCTCTTGTCCTGTTTTTTGCAGATGGAGTGTTCCCCGTGTTTGCCTTAGATCAGCAGAGCTGAGCCAAGCAAGCAACTTACTGTGGGCAAACTAGAGCATAAATAACGTGTGTGGCCACTTGGCAGCAGCCCAAGCGCACAGAAAAGTTCGTGAAGCTCCTACTGCCAGGAAAAGGTCAAGTCTTACTTGCCCTGCTGAGTGTCTGGCTGGGAAAGCTCTGGGTACCCTCCCCTGTCCTGAGTCACAGAGGGTAGGGGGAACTGACACTCCTAAGGAAATAACAACTTTCCCATTGTGTTTAGTGCAGGTCATAACCATAGGAAATGTTATATCCACTGAAAAAGAGAGTGCAAACCTGAAAATACCAATTTATCATAAAATCTTGCAGTGGCTTTTTTTTAAAACAGGTGGATGTTGTAGATGTTGGAGATAAACCAAAGGTGTATTCCTTACACAGTTCAAGAATCTGGGAGGTTTATATGCATTTATTCCTTTGCTGCCCTTCTGCCCTCCTTTCTCCTTCTTGGAAAATTTTCTGTGGAAAGAAATTTAACTAGAAGACAGAAAAATTTAAAAGCAACTTTGAAAGTCATAAAGCTAGAAAACAACCCCTGGCTAATTTGTGAACAACTGAAGGTTGGCAATAGAAAGCGGGAGGTGGGAGGAAATGTAGATTTTTAACTCAATTTATAGGCATCTGCATTTTTGGATGAACAGCTTTTGAATTCAAGTAGTGCTCTCCTGAAGAGTGGCAAAGGGAAAAAATGAACCTTTTCTGTCACTTCAGCTGTTTCCTGCATTAGCTGCTGTTCCTAGTAGTCACACCAAGTATAGGAGACACTTGGCTCTGCATTCAAATGTTCACCAGTTTATTTCCTCTCAAACTTTATAGTTAAAAGACACTTTTAAATTTATACTTGAGAGCTAGTATTCAGATATTAACTGTATTAGGTTGATATAAACATTGCATTTCACAGACCCGCCTGACTTTACAAGTAGTGCAACATCCTGTTATTGGAAATAAAGGAGCAGATATACTGCTGTTGGAATGACTGCCATAGCTTTTGTTAATATGTGGTTCTTTTTAACAGGCATGTTCCCACTGTCATATTTATTGTAATTGTCACCAGGAGTGAATGTAACTCAGACTGGTGCTGCTGTCAAAGTTCTATCCTAAGCTTTGGCAATGGGATTGATACTGGACATAAACTTTTTATTTTTTAAATTAAATCAGAGGAACTGGCTTACTCTGTGTTATATTTCTTTTAAAGAGGATGCCAACTATATGAACAGTGTTACAGCTTATTTATGAGTGACGCAGACATGGCTTAATTTCTTGTTTATAACTGATAGAGGAATCGACACTAATGCTCTGAAATGTAGTGTTGGTTGACAAAGATTTACTATGTAATTTCTATAAATACTTCTTGTTCTACACTCTATCTCCAGGCACTTCTTTAACACTGAAAATGTGTGTTGTCTGGAGGGCTAGCCCCACGGAATTAAAATTTCTTCAGACTTCCATGAATAGTAAGGCTGAGGAGAGCACAACACCTCAGTTCTATGCGTAAAAGAGTGACTTTCAATTATTAACATTAAATTCCACAAAGCTCTGGATTACTCAGTTGGCTTTTCTGCTTCTCAAAACACTCATGGGAATTTTGCCATTGGTGGAAGACAAAATGAGACCACTGGTGGAAGATACAGCACAACAGGCTGCAAAATGCAATGAAGTAAAGCAAACCTCAAACATTTTTGAATGTATTTATTTTTAGTGTGAATTGTGTAGCTTGGGTACGTCTGTGGGGGTTTAAGCCCGGTTATATGAAACTTAATTGGTAGCATGGGTAGTGTACAGGCAGAGTAAAACTATACTCATATTATTGGATTATATTACAGTGATTTAAATTTAAAACAAATTTAAAAGTTTCTCTGCTGTTAAAGCTGATAAGTAATAGGCATACGATGGGGAAAGGAAGAAGGTTTTATATGTTCTTTGATGATGTCTACAAACATGTAGTTCACAGTCCTCCAGTTTACAGCATATGTGGATTTCCACAAGCTTTTCATAGGCCACTAACTTAAGATCTTTACAGGAACTGAGCTTTGCTGGGATAAGGCATTATGTTTTGTTTCAATAGAAGGCAATAAACGGTCAGGTTTACAATGACCCAGGAGGAGCTGTGCTGCTGAGTGTATTCCTAAAAGGTAATGGAAAATGTAGAAAATAATATGGTGACAATAATGTAGAATTATTCAAGACAGTGAAAACAAAAATAAGCTGCAGAGTTCCAAAAGGATCTCTCGACGTGTTATGAGAGGTGATAATATGATAAATGAAATTCAGTGTTGACAAGTATAACATAATACACAGGGATAGTCTCTAGCCACCTAGGAGAGAGATTTTAATGGCCCCAGAGGCAGCTATATAAAAAAACCTCTGCAAAACCACATAGGAATCAAAAACATAAAGAATTTATTGCATTTATAAGGAAAAAAGCAAACAAACCAAGAACTGAAAAACAATGAAAAAGGAACATTGATTTTTTTCTACCCTAGGAATTCAGATATTGTCTCGTACTCAGTGTGTGCCTCAAGTCCTTGGTTAAAACATTCAGGGTCCTGAATCCTACAGGATTTGCTGGAGGTCCTGGGTGATCTAGCAAAAGACTGATGAAGAATGACAGACTCACAAATCTGGAGTATATTCTCCTCATCCTTATTGCTGGAGGCATCTGCTGGACTTTTCTGGATGTGGAAAGCAGGTTTGCATTCTCCAACTCACAGGGACTTCATTAGTGCTGTTGGCAGTCAGCTAAATGTCTACAGCATCGTCTTGACAGGACCTGTGCTGTTTGTACAAACAACTAAGGGAAACCTTCTGGTCAGTGTCTACAAAAGGCCCCTGATCAAGGGGACCCTACTGATGAAGCCCTTTTGCTCCAGCTGCAGGAGGCATTGAGCTCACCAGCAGCAAAGTGCTTCCCACTGTTAGCAAAGATCAGGTTCATGACCACCTGAGGAACCTGATTGTGCCTAAGTCTATGGGACCCCAGGAGATGCATCCCAGAGTCATGAGGGAATTGGCTGATATAGTTGCCAAGCCTCTCTCCATGACATTTGAAAAATGAGGTGAAGTCCCAGGTGACTAGAAGATGTGAAACATTGAATACACCTTTAAAAAAGGTAGGAAAGAGGACCCTGGGAGCTACTAGCCTGTAAGCCTCATCTCTCTGCCTGAGAAGATCATGGAGCAGATACCTCTAGAAGGTATGATAAGGCCTGTGGAGAACAGGGAGCTGATTCGGGATAGCCAGCATGGCTTCTCCAAGGGCAAGTACTGCCTGACCAACCTAGTGGTCTTCTGTCAGTGGACAAGGGAAGGGCTACGGATGTCGTTAATCTGGATTTCCATAAAACATTTGACATGGTCCCCCATAACATCCTTTTCTCTGAACTGGAGAGAGATGGATTTGATGAGTGGACTATTTGGTGAAATAGGAATTGGTTGGATGGTCACATCCAGAGGGCAGTGGTAAATGGCTCAGTGTCCAGAGGGACACTGGTGATAAGCGGTGTCCCTCAGGGGTCCAAAATGAGATCAGTATTAGTTAATATCTTCATCAGTGACATAGATAAAGGGATCAAGTGAACCCTCAGCAAATATGCAGATGACCAAGCTGAGTGGTGCGGTTGACACACCTGAAGCATGGGATGCCATCCTGAGGGACTTGGACAAGCCCAAGAAGTGGGCCTGTGGGAATCTCATGAGGTCTAACAAGACCAAGTGCAAGGTGCTGCTCCTGGGTTGGGGCAACTCCCAGTGCCAATATAGGCTGGGGATGAACAGATGCCCATGCCCGGAAACATTCAAGGTCAGGTTGGACAGGCCCCTGATCCACCTGACACAGTAAAAGATGTCCCTGCTCACTGCAGGGGGGATTGCACTAGATGACCTTTAAAGGTCACTTCCAACCCAAACCACTCTATGATCTTTGGTGTTTGGCATTTTCTTATCCTATTCCTTATGGCTCTGGAATGACTCCTTAGCTTGAAGCCACTAATACCCAAAGTTAATTCTGGTGGCCCTCCTAAACAAGGGCAGCCAAAGGCGAAGGATAACACTGAACACCGAATGTGATCCTCAAACCAAACACACTGTTTTCATTATTTTTAAAATAAGAAATCCTTTCTTCTTGGTAGAGACCTCCTTTTGCTTGCCTAGCTGAGGTAACTCAACCACTTCCCTGGGCAGTCTGTGCCTGTGCTTTACAGAAACATTTTTTTTTTTTCTTTAATTGATTTAATGTTTCATGTTAAGTTAATCAAGTCTAACCTTATTTTCACATACAACCAGATGACACACATCTCAAAGAAGACAACAAAGCAGGTAAGTAACTTGGAACAAGTTGTCCAGATCTCATCCCTGAAAGTGTTCAAGGCCAGGCTGGATGGGGCCCTAAGCAACCTGGTCTAGTGGAAGGTATCCCTGCCCAGGGCAGAGGGTTTGTAACTAGATGATCTTTGGGTCCATTTGAACCCAAGCCATTCTGTGATTCTACGTATTTATTTGAAATTGTGGTGCTATATAAGAGATCTTCATGTTCAGGAGCACGGAAGAATGAAGAAATGCTCCAAGACTTTATGCTAAGAAGAGTGACACCAGGCTGTGCCCACCTTGTCAGTGGCTCCTTCCTGACTGCTGTTAAGCTGTGTATTGTGCATTTAATGCCTGCTCTCTCCTTCCCTGGCAGTGCAGGTGCTGCAGCTCAGTAGCAAAGCTGTTGGGGAAACCAGTGCTGCACCACCCGGGCTCGTCACAAGGGCCAAGATGGTGAGGAATGGGACTCTAAACTGAGTCATCTAAGCATCCTCTGGGATTTAAGCTGTTCTGGATTAGGCTAAAGAGCCTGATTCCTGTAAGAATAGATGTGTTCTGTACTTCCTGTGTCTATCTACATGATCTGTTGAACAAGAGCTCTTCCTATCTTGCAAAAAAAAGCAAAGGGACAGGTGAGTCAAAACTTGGCTTTGGGTGGTCTGAGCACAACCTTCCTTCACTTGTCTTTAAGTGAAGAGCCCTGGAATGTTATTTAAGCGCAAACTCTAATACCAGAGTTAACTAGTTGGGGTTTTTTTAATTACTAATTTCCTTGTCGAGGTTTTTGTCCAGCTTCTGTATGTGTCTCTTATCATGGCAAAGACCTGTTAGATAAATGAAAACAGCTAATTTAGATGCCATGCACTTGCATGAGGAGATTGGCTAGAGAGGTACAACTGCAAAGGGAAGTCAGAAGAGGAAAACAGAGGCACAACATCTGGTACTGCTGCATGTCAAAAGTGCATTTAACTGCATGAAGCCATAAGCAAATTAAATCCTTTGCCCTCATTTTCACACATTGACAGCAGCAACAATATAATAGTCCATGGATTTTTTTTTTTTTCTTTGCAACTGCTTAACTCCTGCCTTATTATAAAGTCACACATTTCTGCTTCCCTCAGCAATGAGTTTTAGGGGTGTATTCAAGCCTTCTGTAGTTAGTTTTTCAAAATCTGAAGCTGTTTGCCTCCAAGAGATTGTTTTAGTTTGAGTTTCCTCATTAATCCTAGTTCTCCTCTGTTTTAAATAGGGACAAGTTTTTCCCTTGGTGCTACTTCTTTCTCATCTGCTTATTCATCCCTCCTGTTTCGAGAGCTGCTACTCCCTGAGAAGTCACTAAAGCTGAACTTTCATCTGAACTCTCTCAAAGCTTGGGAAGAATTTTAGCTCTTCGCTGAGGATCCCTCTGCCCTGCCATGGGGTGTTGTCTTACCTCCTGTGGTCCCCTTGCCATTTCTCTGCTGGTTGTTTGGAAAAGGACTCAATGCCATCTGCTATTTTTTCTTTGTGGCAGGGAAGGAGATCTTGAGCTAATTCCATGTGGCTTTTTATAGAGCAAAGAGTGTGATGGCCTTAATATACTGAACTGGAAGTTTTACAGCTGGGGCTCCCTTTACTCGGTCTGTTTGGGGCTGGTTACTATATACACAAATGAGGGACCAGCTTAAGCTGGCTGTGTCAAGAATGACCACACCACTCTCGTGGCTACAACCTTTGCTTGGCTGCAGTTACTACCATTAATAATGACAGGGCTTTTTTAACAGCTTGCCTTTCTGTTTTTGTTGAACTGTTTGGATTGGGTTTGGGTTGGGTTTTTTTTGAGGGGGACGTTTAGTTATCCCGTATTTTAATAGGTTTTGCCAAGCAATAAATTCTTCAACTTCCTAATCAGGTAAAGCTGCTGAAACCAAGCAGTTTTGTCATGTTCTGATTAATGGTATCCCACTGAATAGTCTCCTTGCTTCTCTTCCTGATGTGAAAAATGTGATGTTTCTCTAGAAGGACAACAAAAATGTATTTAAAGACATTTCAAATTAATGACTAATGAGTAGCTCAAGCACTATTACACTGAATCAATTTCTTTTGCAAGAGGAATTAAGTATTCAGAGATCAGTTTCTGCAGACTAATATTAGAAGTAACTTGACCTTACTAAAACAAAAATTAGATGGAAGAGTTTCTATTGACTTAGAATTCTAGAATCATTAAGGTTGGAAAAGACCTCCAAGATCAAGTCCAGCTGTTAACTCAGCACTGCCAAGTCCACCACTAAACCACATGGTTTTTAACAAACCTGGGCTTGTATGAACCTAACTGTACAGATACAAAGGGTAATACAAAGTCTGTTTCCTTAACTATTGTGTGTGCAAATCAAAGAATCTAATGCAAATCAAAGCAGCTCTGTGCCTGAATTAGTGCACAGACTCCTGCTGACATTATTGAAATCACCGCTGAAATGTCAGATGGGGACTATAAGGTAGATTTCTATGTCATTGGAGTCAGTGGGGATTTTTTGCCTTGGACTGCAAAAAAATACATACTTCCTATTTTTTTCAAGTTTATCTGTAGCTGGGCTCTTAAATATTTAGCATTGTGGGAGTTTTTATTTTTCTGATTTATTTTCTCTCTTCTCCCCTTTTTTCCATTTATAGAGTGAGTTTGGGTGTACAAGGGATAGTTTTGAAGTCTCCAGATTCACTCAGATTTAATCAACATCTGTGTGCTGCAGTGTGCAAATAAGTCTGAAAGCTCAGCAGCTTTGTGTAAGCGAGAACTGTGGAATTTAATCCTGAGTCACTAGTAATATTTATTTTTAAAGAATCTATTAAGCTCCAACATCTATCATCACATCTTTTTAACTGCTGTCCACATCTTGCTGTGCACCTGCTTCGCAGGCAAACCTGTTCTGTCCATCTCTTAAGTAGGAATAGGGTGCTGATTTGGCTCTATAGAAGTTTAAAAGGATTGCACTCTGGACATTTAACAAACAGCTTCAGTCAGAAGTTGTCATTAAGCCCTTCTTAGCTCACTAAAAAGGGATCTGCTGGCAATGTACCCATCACGATTTCTTTAGGACATCAAGATTGGTTCCTGGTCGTGGTCTGCAGAAGCACTAATTGGGCTTTGCTGCCTTTTGGAGACATAAATCAAAGTTTGAATGTCAGAAGGGAGAGATTTGGCTTTTTTACTCTATCAGAGGGACAGCTGAGTCTTAGCTCATTTCCATTAGCCCCAGCTACTGTATCAGTATGTTTTGTGGAGGTGAGAGGCAAGAAGGCCCAGGAACTCAGTGGCAGGGAGGAAGTCAGGGTTGGTAAATGTTTTGTTGTGCTGCTGCCTCTGCAGTCATGTAGCAGCAGATTAAATGTCTGTAATATTTCAGGAATAGCCCAGAAAAAGCAGAATTACGTTATCTGGAAAGTACCAGTAATACTTAAAGCTATGAAAGATTTGCCTGGCAGATTTTGTAAGACTGTTTAGAAGAGATATTTTGGGATGGCTATTACATCAAGGTTAAAACTATTCCCTGCCAGCACCACCAAAAAGATGAGGGGTTACTTCAAGCCTCTTAAGCCAGTGATGGGCCCCACAAACATTTTGCTGGCCGTGGTCTAGCAATTGGTAGTCTACCATAGTCAAGCCTCCATAGTCAAGCCAATTGGTCAAAAAGAAAATTGTTTTTAAAGCTCTTTAAGGGCTAGAGTTGCAGCATTACAGCACAGACAGAAGCTCAGAGAAGGGGTAGCTGTCCTGTGTAGGAAATTATCTTCAAGTGAAAGGTATGCCATGAGCAACAATATCGTGCCATAGAGCACAGGCTACAACAGCAGCAACCCTGGACAATTACACTTGGTGTTCCAAACCTCCAAGAACTGAGTTTTGCAGTATTAGACTTGTTTATAATAATATCTTCTTTAGCCTACACTCTTGTTCTAATGTTTCAGAGACTTCAGACAGTCATCTTGGTTGGGTGGCCCAGCCTTCAGCAAGGTCTGTCTTTGCTGTAGGCAAAAGGAAAAAACAGGAGCAGAGACAAGAGACATTGTTTACTATGAACAAGATTTGGTGTTATAATTAACATCTTTTTCAAAATGTATCATTGTAACTTGCATAACTGTGTCACACTGGCTTTTAAATACCTTATTTCTGTATTAATTGCTGTGTGTATATCCAGCATCTGTGTGAGCTGAGGCAGCTGTTCCCTCTGACCACGGCCTCCTGTTGTTCCCATGCTGAGTGCAGTGTTTGTAGGTGGGTGCTTGGAGCATCGCTGACTTATCACCTGGATTTGAACATGATCACTGCTGGGCCCTGCATGTCCCCACACGTAAAGCTCCTCTGCTGATGGAAGCCACAGCTCCCTGCTGCATTGCAGGTTTTGGGAGGCAGTGAGCAACGTGGAGTGCCTGCCCATTGCTGATGGATGTACTTCTCTCCCAGCTGTTGGTCCTCCTGCTGTGTGCTTGCAGAGGTATCTATTGCAAAGGCACTTGTGACTTTTTTTTCAGTCCTTGCTGAGCAGATCCTGTAATGTCACACAGGTGTGAGAGTACAGCGATGTACTCTCAAGTAAGAAGTTTACCCAAACCCTTTTCAGTTTCTCTTGTTCACAGAAACACAGAATATTCTGAGTTGGAAAGAACCCACGATGCTCATCGAGTCCAGCTCCTCGGTGAATGGCCCATGTGGGGATTGAACGTGCGACCTTGGTGTTATGTTATTAGCACCGTGCTCTGACTGCTCATGTGCTTGTGTCAAACTGACAATGGAAACATTTCATCACCTTGGCACCGAGGTTTTATTTATCCCTGCTGCTCCTCACCTGGCATGAAACAGCAAAGTGGCATTACCAGTTTATTGGAAGGGAGTTTATTATCCTTAAACCCTCTCACGGAGGTAAAACAAGAGATCAGAACTACGTGAATTGCTGTCTCACAATGGAAAGACGTGCTCACCAGCAGGAGCATACAGAGACAATTCTGTACATTCATCCAGTGGATCTCTTTGCAAAGTCAGAGAAGGTACCGTAAAGAATTAAATTTGTCAAGACCTTCACTCTCTCCTCTTTAACCTGGAGTGTATCCCCATTAATTTCTTTAGTTTAATCCCTCCTTTCACAGCTCCACTACAGGTCAAGATTTCTCTTGCTGTGTGTTATCCCTACCCATTTACTACTGTGCACAAAGGCTAAAGTTCGTTCTCACCCAAAAAAACCCAGACTGTCAGGCAAAGCCTGTGTACTCCAAGAATGAATTTTATCTGAATTACTCCAACTTTCAGTGCACATTGTGCTGCTCTGCAAAGTCTATGCTGATGCCAAAAAAATAGAATTTCAAACCACTGAATATTGAAATAAAATTGATAAATCTCTCTTGAGGACTGGGTTGGTAGAAATAAATACGAAGACCTAGCAGCATAGCTCTACTAATAAGAAAGTGCTGGGGATCTCTGAAAGTGCTGTTAGTGTCAAAGGGCACAGCTCATATCACTTTGACAGGAGCACCAGATCAGACAAAAAATGGAAATCTCAGCCTCAGTCTCCAATATGCTTTTTGAGCTGGAAAACACTATGGAGTGCAAAGTAAGCATGGAGTGAATAAGTGCTGCCCGCGTGAGCCAGTGGTGAACCCACTGCAGCCAGCATGCATGACAAAAGTCTTGTGAATAATACCAGTGCAGACTTTGGCTCTCCCCTTCCAGAGGCATCAGAGTGCTCCTGGCACTGACCATACCGACAGCATACTCCCAGCCCTCTTCACGATACAGATGGCTTGAGTACAGACGCCTAAAGCCCTCTGAGACACCTCAGCATGTCTGAAATAATTGCTTGGGGCTGACAGAGAAGACATGGCACTGCTGGAGGACCCTCAGCCTCCTGCAGCAGCAGCTGGAGTCCAGGTGGGGTACCTGAGATTGTACTAGACAGCCATATTGAGGCCACTTAATCCTGCTGAGAGAGGACATTCGGTACCAGGTGAGAACATCTAAATTCAGGCATGAATGTGGGAGTTCAGTTCACTCAAGTCCAAGGAGATATATCCTGTATAATCGATGAACCTAGAAATAATTAATCTTTATAAAACCAGGATTCAGTTGCCTTAAAGCAAGTGTTTAATGCTATTTCAGGTGTTGTGGAATATCCTGGTTGGCATCCCGTTGCTTCACCAAAAAGAGCGTGGACTTCCTCTGCCTTGCATCATATCTGCCAGCCCTGTGCAAATGTCTCATCTATCCTGGAGTATCAAATGGCAGGAAAAGCCAACATTAAAGGAAGCCCATCTGTGCTGGTAGGGCATATGAATCATCCCTCAGGCTTCCTTGACTGTATCAGTCAGATCTCTGTGATTAAAGAAGGAGCCAAGATACTAAGCTTTAAGATAACATATAAGCCTGACTCTCAAAAAAAACACCCCATTTCTCTGGAAAAAATAACAGGATTTAGGACACTGAAAGCCCCTTTTTATCCACAGCTAGATGATTTATAGGTGCAACTGTCTCTATTGCACCCTTTTCTGACTTTCCAAAACAGCTTACAGGCTGATGGTTATTTTTAAGTCAGTTTTTCACAGTCCCTCTTGTTGTAACTGCACCCTTGGTGTGAAAGAGGCTTGAGCATCCCATTACCCAGAGAAGGGTGTCACAGATGTGTTCGACTAGGCATTCAGAAACAAAGTATGACATGAGGCAAGGTCTAGGTTTAAAATTAGGTCTTCGCCTTGCAAAGTGAAATAGATGGGAATGTGTTTCTTTGGAAAATCCAGCAGGCCTTGTGCTCAGACAAAAGCATTTGGATATGAGTAATTGTAACTATGGCCAGCAGCTGATGAGGTGGAGATTTTACCATGGAAATGGAGTTAAGGGGAGATTTAGCCAGAGACAAGCAGCAGCTTAGGGTGGGAGTTCACAGCATAAACATTTTGGACTTTGCTGCCCAGGGGCTTACGATTGGCATTTGTGATCTAGAATTTCTTCTGCTTGTGTCGAGCCTTGGGAGAAATAACAAGTAAAATAGAATGGAAAGAATGTCCTCTCAATCAGTAAGTTGAAAAAGATTCTCTTTCCCAAGAGGAAAACTTTCTCTTTTCAGTCTTCTCTTCCTGAATGTGATACCTAGGTAAACTTAGAAAAGTTTAACAGCTACAAAAAAATCTGAATAATTAATATGATTTGTTTTAATTTTTGCTACTAGCTAGTAGTTGTATTTGTCATCCCTTTTGTAGTCTAACCATCATGTTAATTTCCTAGAGGTCTCAGAAAATTGGGTTGCAATTGCTTGTAGAAAGTCATTCTTCCAGCCCAAGGTAGGAGCAACTATACCTGAACCATTCCTGGCAGATGTTCGTCCAACCTGCTTTTCAAGACCAGCAAAGAGTTTCAGTCTTCATTTTACTGAGATATGTGATGAGCAGAGGATTGCAGGTGGTGGGTGCAAGGGTGAAAGCAGGTTTGCACAGTTTGGTTTTGTGCAGCCTCTGGCTGAAGCACCAGGTCAGGTGATAACACAGGTGTAGCACAGTCACTAGGGACACTCCAAATCCCATTAAATCCAATCAGATTAAACTGAAAAATATATGCAAATGCATCTTTGAATGACAACTGCAAATGTGTTTGAGCATGAGGTAGGATTACTTGACACCTTTCTGTATCCCATGGTGCCTTGCTAGACTGAAACTTACGTGGCAAGAAGTTGCTACAGCCCCTTATGAGCCAAAAAGTTTCACAGTGTCCTCTGAATTAAACTGTGCTTCTTAGGAAGATTAAAGGGCAAATGCTCATTTAAAGAGAATAAATAGATGGTAGATGGATACTCTACTCCCATCCCCACAACATTTCTAAATATTTCTAAACTGAAAGATGTGTGTGTGTCACTCACTTGGTGGGCACAGATAGTGCAGACATCTATGCTGATGGAGGACCACGTGGAAGAAAACTGCTTTGGTATGTTGTTTTTTCCAAACTGCATCACTCTGAAGACCGGACAAGAATGTCCTTACTCCTCAAAACTGGAATGAGAGCCTGCAAACAGAGCTATATCCAGCAAAGTTTTATAGACTCAGAATTATCTCCAGCATCTGCAAGAAACATGAGAAAGGACATTCACTCAGTGATTTAAGATGTTGCTAATGAGGATAAGGTCGCCTCCACCAACTCTTGTCAGCTTTCCCATGCAGATTCAAGTTATTCCATCATTTCAAGCCCTCCTCTTGAACACCATCTTGCTAAGGGCTCTCTTCTAAGGGCTCTCATCGAACAGGTCTCATGTGTTGTAGTGCACCTGTACAAGCAAAACACTTGTCTAAGAGCATTCTCCACGGCACATGCCACTCTTCTTCTGTAGAAAGCCATGTCACCAGTTTGTGTGTTGTCTGACTAGAAGAACATTTATCTGCTGCTCAACTGATGGGAAAATTCAGACTTGTTACTCATTGTCTTAGTTCTTGGCAACAAAACACGTAGCACTGCCGCAGGCATGACTATTTTGAGCATTGTAGCACAGGTCTTTCCAGTCAGCTGCTGCCTAGGACTGGGACAGCAATAGCCAAAGGGTCAACTGGAAGTAGCCAAGACAGTATAAAACCCCTTTAAAAGTATAGCACTGTTGATTTTTTTAAATTATTTTTTTTAAATGACAAAGCAAGTATAGCCTCAGTTGAAGGCAACAATTTCTGCAAACATGCTACTTAACTCACCTTTAAAACATAACAGTTTTAAAAGTTTTCTTCTCCACTTCTAATTTAACATCTGGTTATGCTGTTCTTAATAGGATAAGAAGATCTTTTTTAAAAGATCTTTGATTTGTTGGTTTTAAATTATAGCTCAGAAAAAAAACAAAATCATTATCTGTTGCTTTAGAAATATGTAATAAACAACAGAGGCAAAAGCCATGTACAGCTAAGCTTGTTGTGTGTAATATTTATCTTTTCATTTAAATTCAGCAGTGAGTAATAGTGTCATATTATTTAGGGGAATGCCTTGCCAGAGTTTGCTAATCACTCTTCCTAAAAGTAACAGATATCCTGCATGGTCCAACAAACTGTAAGTCAATCTTCAGGTTCAGTGAAAGGCAATATCCTGAAAGAAAAATGACTTTGGCAGTTTGTGATGAGCAACTTGAATTACAGCCTTGGTACTCTGAGCATCACACTGTTTCATTTAAGAAACATGACCACATGTTTGTAAAGTGAGGACTGGGTTTTTATTTCATTGCAGGAGCCAAGTTAGAAATCATAAAGATAGCAAGAGCAACAGCCTGCCTCATCCAGAGAAGGAAAAATCAGAAACTACTGTTAAGTATAAGAGGAAAATAATTATATATATTATATGTATAATGGTTTATATAATATATATAATACCAATTATAGCATTGGACTGATGACTGTGTAATAAGAGACTACTGTGCTGGTTCCATTGCTTTGATCTCTGGATACAAATGTGGTATTCATTTTTTCCACTGTGAGTACCAGTTTATCAGAAACACTGAAATGCTTGGTGTGCCCTGTCTCTGGAAAGGTCCCTTTCATGCACTTTGGGCTTTAAAGCACTGCCTGAAAAGGCAGAATTGAAGCAAAGACCAGGGCCTGTCTCACTTTGTGTCCTGCTAGTGATAGGGTCCCTGCAGACCCTGCCCTTGCTGCCAGAACTGGCTTGGCTGAGCACCTGGGCTCAACCCAAACAGTGCCCAGGATGCGCAGGGTGCACCTGCTTCAGGTATTAACCCAGAGGAACAAATGACGGTAGCCCGGGCTTGGCTACTCCTGGGAGCCAACCCGGCGAGCAAGGGGCATTGTCAGGGCCATTTGTAGGTGATTTAAAGAATCTGTAAGGAGCGGGGCGACCCAGAGAGAGCAAGCAGGGGCGTAGCACATCAGTTTGCACGGCAGTTCTTACAGGCAGGGCGAGCAGGAAGGGCACAGCCACTCTGCCGGCTCATGTTGGTGGTTTGTGTGGTAGGTGTGAGTGCTTTTGTTTGGTGGTTGTTTGGGGTTTTGGTTTTTTTTTTTTCTCTCCAACCCAACTAGATCCAGCAATGGTTTCTAAAGCCATTGCTGCTGCTGCCAGCAGGAGTGTTCTAACCCAGACAGAACCCCCCAGGAAGGACACAGCTGTTCAGGTCACTGGCTGTAGGGAGTGTCAGAGCACCAGAGGGCAGCGCGAAAGACACCTGCCTATAGTGGGGTCAGGTGCATTATTTGCTCTGTGTAGTGGAAGAGCCTAAGGAAGAAGCAGACAGGCTAAGGAGTATATTAGGGTGAGTGAGAGGGAAATAGGCTGGTGGAGTTGCACCCTTTCAACCCCAAAAGAAGTTCAGCAAGAGTTAGAGAAGCCCTGCCCCTCTTGCCATCAGGCAGATAGAACAGACCAAGTAGATGGTGGGGGAATGCAAACTGCTGTCTTCAGGGCCTAATTAGCTTAGTTTCAAATGAACCATGAGACCCTCTTGAGCCAAGCATCAAATTTCCAATCACTTGATATGACCTACTCAGCCCTCAACGGGACAGTAGGGGACAGACTTCATGGGCAACTGAGACAGTTCCCACCAGGTCAAGGGGTTTTCCAGGAGAGGGGCCACCAACAAGCCAGAGCTTGGGGATCTTGGCAGAGTAGCACCCACCTGTTCACACACCTCCATATCAAAAAGTGGAGGCCCTCGTTGCGAGCGGGAGGTTTTGTTTCCCACTGCTGCGCCTTCCTCCTCAGCCGGCTCTCAGCCTTTAGGTGGCCCTGGCACTTGCTCTCTGTGACATCCCTGAGCTTGGTAACCCTCCCTCCACAGGAGGAGGGGGCCTTCTCCTAGAGAAGGTCTGTGTGTGCCACAGTGACCAACTGGCACCCAAGTGAGGGCAAGGAAACAGTGGCACTGTGTGGTGGGAAGTGTTAGGAAGAGGAACAGAAGTAAAAAAGGAAGATGAGCCACATTCTCACTTCCATTCCCTGTCCTGTGCTGGCATGGAGGTTCACACCCTGCCTAGAGTCCTGCAGCTGACTCACTTGAATTCAACAGGGCATTCACACACCAGGAATGAAGCTGGTTTGAGGGTTTCTTCTATGCAGAAGTGCTGCAGCCCCTTTGCCATCCGGATTCAGGAGTACCCAGATTCAGCACATTGACATTGTACATGGGTAGCAATTGAGATGTTGAGAAGTCACCTTTTTTTGCCCATTTTTTAACCCATTCTCCCTCTTACTCTGTTGTGTTTCCAGGTCACTCTCATTACTTCTTGGCTAGAAAAGTCCACTGGCACAATTTTACATGAACAAAGACTCCTTTCACAGAAACAGGAGCTTTTCTAATTTTATCCTCTCCCTGCTTTAGAGACATGCATTTAGACCTCTGACCAGGTACATGGTTAGTTGTCATGACTATTACAGCATTTCTAGTTCAAGAGGACAGTGAATAACTCAGGCTGCCTTTTCTGCTGGGCTACTGGACCAGTCACACCCCATCACACAGGCATTCCTGCTAGGTTTATTGATTCCCTACGGAAAGAGACCTGTGGTTTCTTGATGAAAATCCACTAACAAAAGCTTGTCAAAACGTAATTTAAACAAACCTAAGAAGTGTCCAAGGGCGCTACTTACTGCATCTACAATGTAACATGGCCTCAGCAGACCAGGGTCTCTGACCCTTACAAGCCTGCTGAATTTCCATCAAGGTAATTGCATTATTCATGTTCACCTTTCTACTGTCAGTGGCTTTTTCTTATTGAATCAAGTAGCATTGAGTTTTCATGAGCAGAGATTATGTCTGTTTGCCTATAAAGCACTCATCATAGTGAGCTTACCTCAGCCAGGTGTCCTTTCATCCCATACAGTTGCAGATGTCACATCTTAACAGAGATTTCACCTCCTCCTTCAGACACAGGCAAGGATAATAGGGAAGAGATTAATCCTTTGAATTACAGACTTTAATGTAGACACACTGTAATGTCTGATTCAAAGCCTGCTGGGCCATGGGACATGTCTGTGCTGGAATGGAAACACAGTTCTGTTAGAATAAAGTTCGTTGTACAAAATAGGCCTTCTAATTCAATTATTTCAGTAAGCCAGCACTCCAAATTCTAATTCAACAAAGTTCACAGTGGCACACATGTGGCACACAGTGGCACACAGTCGGGCACATGTAGCTCTATCCATTAAATAATACGTGGCATGTTCAAGTTATGGATGTGCCTAAGAGCTTGTGTTTGACCTTGGTCCTAGCAGTGAACTCCTTTGGATCTGATGTGGATGTGATGTAAGCAGTTCCTGTTCCGTTAAATGTGGCCTGGAAAGCAACTATTTAATAAGCTGCAGATGAATTTATGGGTCTACATATTTAAGATTATTTCTTATTTTAAAAGAGACTGGAATTGTTTATTTCTATCATGTGGTGCAACTCTTCACAATTAACTCTTCTTGTGTAGTGAGCTTTTGAACCCAAGTGAACGTATCTCACTTCAAGCACACCCAGTCATCTGGACCTGTGCAGCTGCACACCTGTAGTACCAGGAAACACACTGAAGTGGGACACCTGACACAGCCAGGCACACTCCTGATCCTGCTCCTCTGAGCAAAGAGGAAATACCCCGGCAAGGTCCTTCCCTGGGAAACTGAAACCTGAAGTCAGAAGCCTCAACTACCAACCTGCCGGAATAGTGCCAGAGTGTTGCCTCTGATATCTGTCACAGAGTCAGAGGTTAATATCCAATTACAGGGAAAAAAAAATGAGCTCCGCAACCAAGAGAAAACTGATGCTACCTTTCCAAAAGCTGGGAGATCTTTATCCCTGGGAGAGAGGGGTTTTTTTGTGTTGACTATGAAATATATAAAATCACTGTGAGATGTGTCTTCATTAAATTGAGAGTGAGAGCTTTTTTCAATGTGTCACTACAAGTACAAGGGACATTATACACAGAAAGGTTTTGCTAATATATGAGGGGAGACACTAAACTGGTTAGCACTATCAAAGACTAAAGTTATCTTGATCAACATCTGACACCTCCCTACATTTCAAAAACACAATTTACCTTTGTCCATTTTTATTCCACTCATTTTACATGTCCATTGGCATGGCTTTTTATGCTTGCCATTTTCAGAGTCTGTGGCAAGCTGCTGAGCAAGTTAAAAAGGCTAATGCAAAGAATGGCACCAGACATTACCCTCTGCACATCAGAATATAGGATACCCCTGCCTCTGTGGGGATTATGTTAATGCCAAGTGAGAAGGCCTTCATGGTCAAAAATACCCTGGGAACAGTCCATTTCCTGACTCTCCATAATTAGCAGCAATGGGAAAATATCTGCCATGTGTACCTGCGGAGAGCACTTCTCTCTTCACTCCCTCACACAGGTTTGGGGTGCCCCTGCCTCTGCAGGCTGTAGTGCTTTCCCTCACCCAGGAGGAACTGTGAGATGCTCTGCCTTGAGATGTGTTCCCCAAGGGTGACAGAGGCTGTGCTGTCCCTCTGCAGTGACAGCAATGAGATGGCAAAGGGTCACCTGCGGGGTCAAGGTGCTCACACTTCTCCCTGCTGCTCCTGTCAACCTACAGGAAGCTGATGCAGAAAACAGTGGCCAGGAAACTAATCCAGTAGGGGCAAAACAGTAAATAATTTTCTCTGCTTTTTGCCCGTTCAATTCCCTGAATGCAACAAGACTTTCTATGGGAGCATTGTAAACCAGCTCACTGAAAGAAGACAGGAGAGAGCGTAGGAGGGCTGGGCAGGTGCTGACAGCGAAAGGAGCAAAGTCTTCCAGTGGCACATGGACATCTTGTCTCATGAACCACATGCTTGTGACTTCTGGCAGTTGAAGAAAATGAAAAAAAGATGAACCTTTGATGATTCGCCTCAGCAGCAGGAGTTGAGCCCTGCTCACAGACCCTCTGTGAACTCTCTGCCTGGTCCCCAGGAGAGTGGGGGCAAAATGTCCTTCTTCTCCAGTGACTAAAATGTAGGTGAAACCAGCCATCACCTCTTTCTCCACAACCCATCCTAGAGGCCTCAGTACACTGCTTCCTGCCACCTGCCTCCTGCCACCGAGAGATTTGTCACTTCTCCTGACTGACCAGTAATGGCATGTGGGCAGAGGAGGACAAGATAGTGGTGCTCACTTACACAAAAAAGGAGAATCCATATAGGGAATTGGAACTGTGGGATACAATCCTGCGGGGTTTTTGCGAATATCTCTCTGCTGCCTGGAGGGACACCCAACCATAGCCATGACGGAGGTCACCTCGTGCTTTTGGCAACCTCCTCCACAGCTGTTCCCAGCACTGCTTTCCTTGCCCTTCCTGCAAGCACCTGAAAGTTTATTGATCATATCCTGGCATCCTTTTGAAACCTACCAGTCTCCTAGGCCAGGTAGCTTGAAATTACTGTTTGGGACGTGGTGCGCGGGAGGCTCCTGCAGAGCTCAACATTGCAAGCAGTTAAGGAAGAAGGCACCAAGAAGGGCTTTTTGCTACGCCCAGGCCACTTCTATCTCAAATACATCCTCAGGCACAGTCTTGTATCAGCAGAGTGAACTCCCTGGCTTGCTGACATATTGCTCACAGAGCTGCCTCATGGGCAGGTATTTCAAGTACAGCTTGAGTAACATCTCTAAAATCATCACATTCCCTGGGGGACATTGATCTTGCAGCATCTGTACACTTAAAGCAAGGAAGTCACTGTCACCAGCCAGCACAGCCCTGCCCAGGTGCAGGCATTTTCCAAAGTTATCCATTGGCCCTGTGGGGCACATGGGGAGGTGCTGCCCTCACCTCCATGGCATTTTTGCCTAAGCTGCACACCAGACGCCTTTCATAAAAGTGGTGTCCCTTGCATAAAGACATTTATTCATTTATTCCTGACTGATCAACCCCAAAGGACCAGGATGCCACTCAGTGCGTGTTTCTGCCTCATGGATGCACCTTCCAGCTCACTCCCCTAAGCACTGGTGGTTATCTTCCCCCAGCAGCATGGGGTCCAGTTTAGGCTTCAAATCCTATCCCAGAAATGAACAAAACAGCTCAAGCTGAGCTCCATGCTGTGACATTTTAATGGTTTGCTGTTGCTGAACTAGCAGTGTTTTTGATGGCCTTATCTGATATGGGGGCACTCCCCAGGCTGTTTTCACAGCACCGCTGCTCTTTCCCTTCTGGTGAGTGTTTTGATGGGGATTTCTGCCATCCAGAGAATATCTGGAGAAGAATTTTCTGGTAGGAGCAGCTGACCAGCAAGGGATCCAGCCACCTTCAAAGCTGTCATGTGAGACTTTTCACAGGATGCCAGAGAGGGCACTGAAATCATCGAGATCACAGGATTTCCAGGCATGGGTTCCTGGTCATCCTATCTCTAACTATTAACACAAGTATTACTTCACAGTGAATGAACTCTACCCACTCCCCTTCCAGAGATGTGGTGTGAGGATCTTGCAACATTTAATACTATTTAACCTCTCAAACTAGGGCTTTAACAAGGCCTAAATACTGAGTTTGTGCTAGACCTTCCAGAAGAAAGTTTATTTCATCCCACAGGCCTAATATGCATAAACTTGTAAGAATTCTGATACAATTTTAAAAAAGAAGTGGTATTTTTCATATGCATAAGCATACCTGCATATTTTTATGGGTGTTCCCATGTTCTGGTGTTTGAAAATGCACCCCATGAAGTTTCTGGCCAAAGAATAACTAGCATAAATATAAACATGAGAAGAGATTGGTTTGGTTTTGGGTTTTTTTCTGCTGTATTTTA